AAGCCCGCGACTACAGGGCTGATTAACTCTGTACCTACACATTGTTGTTGTTTATTCATGTAACGTTTATAAATTGTTGTGGTATTAATATATTGTAATAGTGATAAAAATTATCGTAGCAGCGACCTTGCACGTGCATAGTGCATGCTTCTTCAGATTTAATTGGCTTATGTATGAATAAACCAGTAAAGCGAATTATGTGTTTGTTGTGATATTATGTTATAAAGGTCGAGACCTTCTCCTGACAAAGTTGCTGTTTAATATAACCGAAACATATTTTGTTTTAAATGATGAAACAAATTAAATTCTGTTGTGGTGACATTTGTTTACAAGTCTGATGTCTAAAAATTTAAACAATGAAATATATCCAGCAAGTGTTGGACACCTGAAATTAACAGTGATGACGATATTCAGCATAATATTTGAACTAATAAACTAAATTATCAAATGTTGAGAGACAACCTATCAACAATAACGCAACCATTGCAGAAAATAACGTGGCAGAAGATAAGATCTTGACGCTTGGTCGCGCCGACCAAGTTGATTATGTCATGATTAGCTCGACAAACGCAGACTTTCTCCCTCGCTTATTGGCCTCGTAAACGTATACATTGTATAAGGCAGTTACGAAAAGCTTTAATTGGGATAAAATAATCGATAAGGAGGAACTCGAGTCCGCTATAGTTATGTGACTAGATTTCGTTTCGTATGGTATGTAATTAACGAATGCGTGTGTAGGAATAAACAGCTTATGAGACAGACATTCGCTAATACTTCAGTCAAAATAATATAGTTAAAATTCTTCTTGCATTAGTATATGTTTAGCTCCCGTTTGGTCTTTAAGTCCCATTTGGTCTTATATTAATTTCATTGCCATTGAACCTTATAATCCGGAGATACCTATATCAGGGAACTCCTCAAAATCGAATAGAAAATGTATACTGAAGTTGGTTTTCTTTTGGTTATACAAATTTACTTGTCTTCTCATTACGTCCGATGGAATAATCCATTTTGTCGTAGATAGCAAGGAGGCCATCGTTAAATTTATTTTCTCTTGTGTAATCGGTGAAGGCGGCGCAAACTGCTACTTCCACCATACTTGTATAGGTTTTTAATACACAAATGCTTTTTTATATATCACTGCATTTTATCGGTATGTCGCGAACACACGCACCCAAACAAAACAAAGGTCATTCTTATTGTGATTCACGTATTGTTTGTAATTTCGCAGGTAAGTGGCGGACGGATAACATGCGCCCATTGGGAGCCATCTTGTTGTATGGTAATGTACGCGTCTGTGTTTAAAAAAAACTTTGTATTGTTCCCACACCGACGAAGAATCATATTGCCGGTGTGTTACTAGAACTTGGCCATTTTTAATTTAATTGTATTAATTTTCTGGAGATTTCGAACACCTAGAATTCGATACAAATGATATAAATAAAGAAGATAGAAATTTCACACGCAATCGCTATTTAACGTCGATTTCTATGAGTGTCTAAGCTACAAGAAGGCCTTGGGAAACTTCTACAAAAAATTCAGTATTCTTGCTTTAGAAACATCGTTACTAAAATGTAAAGTTGACAACTTCTCCATCACTACCAAAGTATGTTGGACAACAACTTTTAATGTGGAACGCGCGTAACTTTTACGTAACATTGTATAGCTTCAAATAAAGATCAAAATGAAGTTAGAGTACAGCTTATATAAAGTAATTCTATGATGTAATATAATGTCTAGCATGAAAATGAAATAAATAAAGAAAATTATTTTACATATAATAGATCTATGTATGTGTAAGTGAAATAAATCATTAAGTCGTAACATTAATATTGCGAGCATTCATCATGTTTCCACAATAACAATATGTTCTATGCATTTATAAGGTGTATTTATTTTTAATGAAATTTGAACGAGAATAGCGTTCGGTGTGTGCAATCATATAGGTTGTAATTTAATAAGTTCGATGATTATAATGACATAGCACGGCATTATACCAGCGCCGTTGGCGGCATGTGTAGTCCACGTGTCATGCACCTTATTACCTGCATAGCATGGGGTAATACAACAATGTATGGTTGTAGTGAACGCAATTTATAGCTTCTTGAGACTTATTAACATTTTCCTATCATGACCGCGGAAAAATGTCTAGTTCCAATGAAACGTATACATAATATATGAAACATAAATGTATACAGGTTGTTATTAATCAAGTTAACTTATTGTTTATTTACATATGCTTATTTTTAAGCATATTTCATTAAAATTAATTGTTGCTAGGGACTTTATCGCGTTTAATTTTAACTTAATTCCCAAAAGAAGTCCTGAGGTAACCTGGGCTGCCGTTAGTACTTGTACTCTGTTTCTGATTAACAATGACATTGGGTCTTACTAAAGTCTCAGTCCGTCCCATATATAAGATTTACCTATTACCATTATTTTATACTACATGACTACCTGATGACTTAAGAGCACTTAATTAGGCAACTTACGGGTCGTTATGGGAATAACCGCGTCTGATATCTTAAAGGGTATCCTGTGGATAAACCCATGGCGAATTGTTATTCATTTATGCAAGCTAATATTTGTATTGTGAGATAAGCGCTTCGCCTTCTTTTCGTTATGTAGGGTATACAGAAAAAAGAAATTAATGTATATAAAAATGTATAAAGATTTCAATTCCTAATTTGTTTAATAAAGGAGCCCTGTGTGGTGAGGCTTATTTTAATATGTTAAAAAGAATTAATTTCAAACAAATGTGAGGAAACCAAGCAGAGAAATACGTCATTAATATGAGTAAAATAAAAATGAAAAGATTTCACTTTTATTATATACTTGTCATGATATCATACACTTGACATGTATATAGTCCAAGAAATTTCATAAATATGAAATTTATCAATTTATCGTACTATTAAAATTAAGTCATTCGCACGTCGCATATTAGATAGTATTAGTTCTATCATATTTAGTCAGATCAGTTAGGAGTTCCGATCAAATTAGACATTATACATATGAAATGGTAGCTCTTCATTTAATTGTAATTGATTCTAGATGTCTACTCATATAAAGTAATTAAATATACTAAGAATGATTGCTTTAGAGATAAAGTAGTAGCTTTATTAATAAAGCATGAAATCACTTGGCGAAGTTAAGTAAAAAAAACAATACATATTATTCCTGAATGATTTATATTTCTGTATGGCAATCGGGTTACGCACAACAATACCAGAATGTTCTGGAAAGCGTTGGTTATTTATTTAATGCGTTTCATTTGATTGCGTGCTGTGCGTCTTCATTGTGCGAATTCGATACGTGTCATATGCGTTAAATTCACTTCTATTTTTAAATGCGGTGGTAGGAGCGTTACTGTGTGTATCGATCTTAAGTTGGAAATCATTACTTAGGTATAAAGGTATAACCAATGCGAACTGGAAACATATTGAAAAAGGAATAAAAATTATTTAATTAATTATTTAATTTAATAATCATAAGATGTCTTAAAGGAGTATCATATTATAAGAAGCATTACTGAACTATTATCTGTGAAAGAATTATATACATTCCTCTTTTGCAGAACTTGTTTAAAAGAACAAGGATCGCAAGTCTGTTGTTATAAATAAACTTTACATGGCATTATAGTCTATCCCGGAGTAAGCTAAAGCACTTAAGTCTAACCTAAGCCCGTACCTCGCGCATAATTTGTATGCAAATTTGCAACTATGTGACGTTCATCTAAATTCGTATTGAACTCACGTACATTTCGCACTTTATGTACAATTCAGTTGATTCGCTCCATACACATAAATTATATTAGGCGTCGCATGTATCTGGATAAGACATAGTATTGTTAGACATTATAGTTAGTAAAGATTACATTGTTGGGTAGTAACGGTTTGCAATGGAATGAAAATTTAATGGCAAATTGATTTTGAAATCCTAAGCTATAACCCAAATTGCAAGAAGAACGCTATTCTTCTCGCATGAAAATCATAAATGACAAGGTGCATGAAATAAAGAAAAAAATAATTATGACAGCTAGGACATTCTAATAGCATTCCGGCGTCGCAGATTCAAATTCTACTACTAAATAAATATTAGCCAGCTCTGAATGTCTGCAAGTATCGGTGTAAAGAGCACTTCGTTTTACTAAGTCCATAACTTCATAATTTTAAACTCTTCCACGATAATAACGTAATGTTTCTGACAGCAATTAATGAAGTGTCAGTGGCACTTGTTTTCTTTGTAACTACAAAGCTTTCAAGTCTACTGACTGCGGCTCGCCGTAAGCACCACGTGTTTAGATTGGATTCTAAAACATTATTCAAAGAGATGTTGACAGTCGCTGCCAGAAGCCGCCTACCAGATTTGCGTGGAGCGTTTCATTACATCCTTTTCATTTCGTTTCTTTTAAATTTCTATTCAATTAAAGCACAAAGAAGTTTTGTATATAAATATGTATCTGTCGTAATTATCGAGTGGCACATCATTTAATTAATCAATTACAAACTTTTCCATGATCATTACTCTTCGATTGCAATAAACGATGATTTCTATATTAGATTTACACACTGGAGAAATAATTAGGTAAGATCTTTAAAAAATAATGATCGATGCTTGATTACTACACCAGAAGGTGCAACTTGTCGTAAGACGTAAAGCGATTTTGATGAGGGTAACAGCTGGGTTTCAGCTGACAGCGAGCGCTGTGGCCTCGATCCCTAGACGAGTTTAAATATCACTCGGACGGGTGAGTTCATCGCTTAAACTGTCCATAGAGTACCGCGCTACGTACGGTGACCTGTGGATTGGTGCTTCCCGAGCGACGCGCTACAATTTAGGGGCCGCGCCGATTGGAGAGCGTCTTTATAACGTACTGCGCTCCGTTTAATGAAATTCCTTCGCGAACGTTTCTACCTTACCTCTTAACTCACAAAGCTGAATTTCGTGATTAATCTCGCAGTAAATCTAAGCGCCGATTGCTTAAGGCGTATTGTGAAATGCGTCAATTAGTTAAAGGTAAACATTGCACATCTTGTTTACGAACCCGATGAGTGACAGTGATGTGCATAGTACAGCGTGTTTGCGAAGTGAAGAAAAAACGAGTGATTAAAAGGTTGACAGTGAAGGCCGTCGTAGGCTTGCAACGGGCCGCTTGCCGCTCGCCGTCGGGCGGGTCACGCGCAACACCCATTCCTTTCTAAAGTGCTTTCTAAATCTTACACATTCGTTGCCTTTATCGCTTCAGAGCGCCGTCTCACGTTCGCTCCTTTCCCGGCGAGGCTTATCGAGTTACAGCTCGCTCTATTTGCAAAGGATTTCGACGCGGATCCGTTCGCTCTTTCTGCGTGCCGAGCGGTCCCATTATCCGGTGCCGCGGCGCATTCTACATCGACATTCCTATGGAGTGCGTCACCGCCAATGCCGTCGGGTCGTTAGCTGGGTGGCTGCGATGCACCGACGACGCTTGTTGCTTCATAAAAACACTGCTAATGCGCAGGCCCAAACGGTCGTTACGCGTCGAGGGAACCAATGCAATATCATGTTGCCCAACTCTTGTCTGCGAGGTATAGTCCAGTTGCCTAGAATTGGCTTAGTTAGTTAGTCAGCAACTCGATTTGAAACCTATTGTTCGGGTTGTTTACAGTCGATGGCCCTTAGAAAGTGCTCGTGAGGCAACCATACGATACGAGGAATTTGATAATTTAACAGACCCTCGAGCCATTTACGTTGCTGAATACATCCATCGTCATGAAAACTTATTATGTCAAGCGATGATACGATTATGTAGGAGAAAGGTTTTTTGCAATTATACATGTAATTTTATAAGGTTTCCTCTTTCATATTTTAAACGTTAAACCTATTTGTAATGGTGCAGTATGTTCTATATTATATGCAATTTATTTTTATCTAAGCATAATGCCCATTACGAGAAAGTGTGTTGATAGTTGATACAATGAATTTAATAAATAGTTGTGGACTATTGATAATTATACTTATCCTACTAAATAAGTAGTCATTCCGCATTTCTACGAGTATGCTTCCTCGGTTTGATGCAAGATGGTAAATTATTGTTTGTCACTCTAAAATAAAAAAATAAGACAAATTATAAAAATAATTTTAATAATGACAGATTAATGTATTTCTGATGAATTTTTATCACCTTATTTTGGATTTAAAATTCCTAACGCTTCGAATATTCTGTAGCATTCATCCTCACGTAACTTAGAAGTTTGCATAATGTCAAACACTATTGTAACAATAATTCATGATAATTATGATCTTTTATGTATAAAAATTTAACCTTTGTGTCCAAACTCAAAAACTAGCCGGTGGATTGTTTATATTTGTTTACAACATAGCTATTGATCAGGAGTATTTTTATATACTTTTTATTCCGAAGTTTCCAAGGAAAACGAAAACAAGCCAAAGTGTGGCCGGTTCAGTTAGTTCGTAATAAGCGCATAAATGCCAGTACAATAAAAATAAAAACTTTCATGAATATGGCGTTATGACTTCTGTCGTAAACACGTTATCTCGATTACTGCTTACAGTATGCTGCTGTATTGTCGTAGAGCAAGAACAGATTACTTAACAGCTGCACGAATAGTATTGTTTGACTGGTCATAGTCTAACAGAAAAACGCGGTGAAAAAATGTGGCGATTCGTTTGATAACGCTACCTCTTTGCTGCTACCCACTGGATCCTCACTTACCATCAAGCGAATCGCATGCTCAGTTGTCAAGGCTTTGTAAGAAAAATCAAAAACTTTCGATAAAAACATTGCGTGTTGCCGATAAACAACTCTCATGAAATTTGACCAACTAAAATGCCAATGCTGTACTGGATCGACTATCTCGTGATATGCAGTCGTAAAATTAAGCGTCGCGCTTTGATTTTTGTATGTTAAAAAATGACAAATTATCACAACTAACGCGATAGGTAGTTTTGAGTCTAGTTAATTTGCGATTTCGTTGGAGACTGGTTACGGGTGCGAAAGTTGAGCAGAGTTTGACCGTATCTAGAATCTTTCAGTGCTTAATGGCCGCTGTGCTAACAATGCCATATGTTGAATGAGCAATTTGTCTATTTATAGTTAATACTTTGCCAAGTTTTTGTGCGTCAATATGGGCGTTTACGTCAACTCAACACAATCGCTGTTGCCTCCTACATTATATTATTTCGAAGGATATGCTTTCGTCGTTTTCGTACATCATTGGATGCCGTTTGTTTTTATAATTACCAAAAAAACGGAAACTTCAAAAGCGTATATCGCTGGAGCTTTCTGTGATGTGGCTGATCTGACAAATGACGGATTATTGTAGCTTGATACTTTTTGTAAATACCTATCTAAAATCTATAAATATTTTTAATATAGAGTATAATTATGTAATCTGTATACTTTTATGATATAAATAAATACTACCCATTTTTAAGAGCATTTCTACTAGCACTTACTTCAATTCACTTTGTTTTCTGTATTTAGAGAAGAGACCTTTTAATCAGGCTTTACAAATTAACTTCAAAGGAACAAATTTTATAGTTAATTGTTCATTGATGTTTATCTTTGCGGCCGTTACTTTTCGAAAATTTAAGTCTCCCTTCTTAATCTAATAACTAACGTGAACTTTGTAACTGTACATATTAATGTTGCCATCGCTAGGAAGTCACGAAACAAATGAACGCAATTTTTTTTATTTACCATTTTCCTGTATGAAACTAATAACCTATTGTGACCATTCAAAATCGCGCTTTATCAAAGTCAAAGATCATGTGTTTTCACGCGGGAATTACCCGACAAACATTGGATAAGACTACAACGAAACGCTTTATACTCACGACCGGGGTATTTCAGTCTTGGGCTCTTGTCCGTTACGATGTGTCATGCCCCGGGTCTTGGTGACGCACCATGGAGCACGGCGCTCGCTATGTATACAAATGAGGTCGTTTAGAATAGCACGCCCGTGATAACAGCGGAGTAACGTAATTAGATGAAACGTGTTAATTCGGTCGCTTATCGCGTAATTATTATCAAAGTTACATTCGCTTTTTCAGTTCCTCTCATTAGTTGAACAATTCACTGATATAATTTTTATGTAATTTATATGTATGTATATTATGAATACAGCGATATGATTTCTTTAGTATGCAAATTTGCAGTATTTCTCTTATATATCATTTGATCTTGCATTTGTTAAAAATGTAATACTTGATGATTTTTTTTAATTGAAATTAAAATATCATTTATGTGTTAACTCTAGTCCTACCTAACCTTATTATCTATTGACTATAATATCGACATAATTACATAAATCACGTTCTGATTGATTGAGTACCTTATGTTATTGTTTTTAGTTTATCTGTTCGCTGTATCAATCTTATTCCTGATTTGTTTATTTTAAATAGGCATGAGTTGAATTTTTCATATAGTCATAAATACTTTGTTTGATAAACAGCTATAAAAATTTACAATGTGTCGTACTTATCACATTATTTTGGATTATAATAAATAGTTAAGTTTCTCGGAACAGATTTATGTTTCTGATAATTGCTTGTATAAGTGTACAGTTTGTACTTATATGTCACACCTGTGTGTTTAACGAGAATATTATCACAGTTTTCCTACGCTTTTGCTCACGAGCGTTACCAATAATGTCAAACTATTGAAACACTGGCAATAAACTTGACCCTTCTATTCGTTCCTTTTTCCACGATGACTTCTATTTTTAGCAGACAATAATAGACATATACATTAATCAGTTAATCGTCGTTTATTTGTTGACATGCAACCGTCGCCGGCTATTAGCGCCGCGTTTTATTGGACCTGCATCAAAGACCCATCGCCCGCGCCGCGTAGACCGATGTTACTGAATGGCGAACAGTATTCATTGTTATTGTGTATTGTAAATAGTGAAGTCGGCTCTCATTCAGCGCGTTCGCGTGAACGAGCCCCATTAAGGGCCGCTAATTGACCGGCGCAGGTACAATGACGTGGACGCGCCGGCCACATTTCATTGTGGACCGTATACGGCCTGCTGTGTGAACTGGAATTAATGTATTTTTCTAATATGAGAAGGGGTCAGGCGAGCTGGCGGTTCACCTGATAAGTGATAATCGCCGCCCATAGACACCTGCAACATCAGTTGGTTCCGGATACGTTGCATTTAATAAAGTTGGCCCCGATCGCACTCACCAGAAGAAACACAGAAGTATAACACTTCCACTTCACGCCGGTCTGCTCTGAGGCCCTGGTACTACCTCGGACGAGCCTGCCCATTTGTGCAACAGCAGAAGCTGCTGCGTGGTTCTAAGACAGTTAATTTGTACTACCATGGGTACTTTTATCCCCATTGGCGATTACCGCGGCCGCTCGTGAACATCATCAATCGCATGGTTGAAATCTATTGGCAACTATCAAGAACCAAGTGGAACCCGGTCAACTCACCTACCTGATTAAATGCAAAAATAGGATTACATCTAATTTACACTGATCTCGTATGTGTTAGTTACATCAGGCGAAACGGCCCGTGGGAGCAACGGCAGAAGCTGAACGGATAGTAAAGCATTTAGGAAAGGGCAAAAGGTTTCGTAACACGTATTTAAAAAAAATGTTTTGGTTATATCCCAGTTATGACAGTCAAGCGACATGGCGACACGATCGGCGAGGCCGGAGGCGAAGGGCAGCGTCTTTGTTCATCATCAACGTTGCTCAGAGGTGAGCGGGCGAGCGGCGCGCGGGGCGACCGCGTAGGTGGCATTATCGCGCCGGAAGAGGCGCCGTATCCTGCGCCAGATAAGCGTTCAGCCTCATCTGATTTCCGCTTGCGCCGAACCGCACCGACTAAACCGAACGCCGGCCCCGGTGCCCTCGATTGCTGAATTGCAATCCTGGCTTTGTAATTCACGAATTTCGAAAATACGGGCGTTCGCGTCACACTTTTCAAGCGGCTATGCTAATGAAATTTTTCCCCCGGCGGCGTCGACACTGTGCGATTGCGTGTACGCATTCCGTTCGCGCATTGTAAATTTATGTGCACGGTTCGTACTCCATATGCGTTATCACGGCGGCGGCGAAATAAAATTACGCGAACTATTCGCGCTATGCAGCGAACGCGGGCTAATAGGTTCGCGTAAATCATTGATTTTATGATTTTGAAATCTTTGTTAATAGAGTGATTGTGAAATTACACAGTTTATGTATCGTCTCGCAACTGCGCTTTTGCAGCGCGGCCGGCGGCGTTTTAACAGTACATTGTTTCGTTTAAATAATGCGTCAAATATCGAAACAACATCCGTCCGACGTGTTAGTGGCAGAGAGATTCCGCGCAACGTCCGTAACGAATCCGCCATGCGACGGTGTGTTCACGTTCTTACTGGAAGGTGTGCTAGGCCGTCGGGTTGCAACATACAAGCGATAGGCGCGACTATGAGCTGTATGTTATTACTGTAAAGAAGGGACCGAGATAAAATTTTAAAATAAAACATATTTTTTACATTGCTTTCATTATATTATAGCCTGTCTTAGGTTTCCTTTCTTATTAGACTTACAGTTGATCGCTTGCGTACAAACAACCGATTTAATTTCTTTGAAGAAGAAATACACTACTCAGCCTATTTTAAATACAAGACCGTTACGTTACTTAAATAAAGTTTTAGATAATTACCATCAATATATAAAATAGGAAATATATGGAAAAACATGTTTTATAATGAATACCTATTAGGTGCCTACTAGAGTTTTCCGATAATCAACTAGTGAAACAAAGTAGGACTGGGCTGTATAGCTCGAATGTAGCTACAGTGAGGACGCAACACGTAGTATGCCTTAAGCGGGCGCTGAGGGTGGCATCTCTTCGCCCTGAATTAATTTAAGTGGGAGACCCCGGAATACCTAAGTAACTATCTTTCACGTTTTGACGTTTCAGTAAACGTCCTCGGAAGATTACCAAGATAGAGTTATGTTAGGCTTCTACTCACTAGAGTAGAAGCCTAACATAACTCTACTACTCTAGTGAGTAGAAGCCTAACATAACTGCCTGCTAATAACATTCACCTCTAAAAGATAAGGAAACTTTTTAAATGTCCTCTCATACCATAAAAAGGAAAAAAGATTGGGCGTGGCGGTACCTCGCTATGCAATACATTCGAAATTATTTGAACAGTCAACAGAAATCTCAAAACAGTATCATCCTCCGCTTGAGAGATTCGGAGGTCGTCGCTCGACCCTTGTATTGCTGCGATAGGCTTATTTGTGTCGATAACTGCGCAAGTATTGTATTTCTTTAAAATAACCGCGTTACAGATAACGCTGAGCGTCAACAAACAACATTATAAAATTACTTGTTACAGTTAGTGATGTCAGTGTATTATTGTTACACTAGTGTGGTCTTCGACATAGTTGTTTTCTTTTGGTAAAATAATAAAAGTCTGTCTTGATGTACTTTATATTACTGGGGAACAAATGACTTCATCATCGTGCAGTACCGACTGACAAAGTAAAATTTGGCAACCGCTTTTTTGCTATGCATTTATGAGTTATGACACTTATCTGTTTTAGGCATAGAATAAAGATATTTAAAAATTTGTTTTCTTATTCTTTTTTTTTCTCTTTGGGTGCTTTAGCGTGCAGACGATTGAAGGAACTCTGTAAGGTGGGGCGCGTTAAAGAGTCGCCGGACCTTATCTTATCGTTGGCCTACTGACTCTGTGCAATGCAGTCCGCAGCACGTCCACTCCCTGCTCATTCACAGCTCACGCACTATCGGACCTTTGTCATGGAACCTATTATTGGATGTTCCGTTATAAATGATTCACCAATCGAACAAACTGCGCATCGCGGCAATCACACATTTTTTTCTATTGCAGTTTATCTGTTTTATTAAACACGTTATGTGGTAGATGTGCAGTATGCAAATTATTATTCGCAGTTAGTAAAATACAATTGGGATTATATTGAAATGACATTAATTTTATTATTATATAAGGAGGGTTTGGTATGGAGGTATTGGCGTTTGGCAGGTGCGGCGGACGGTCGTAAAATACATAGCCAAAACCGCTTACAACATGATTCATATGTTGTGCTGACCCCATCTAGGTGGGATAAGGGCAGGCGGATGATGATAATAATGATTTTATAATGTTAAATCCTAAAAGATTTTATTATACTTTCTTTCGCCATGTAAGAATTGGTTTAACGGCGTATAAATCAAGACTGAAACGCTCATTTTTTACATTCTAATTTGGCGCTTCGATTGCTTTTCCCGAACGGCTATTTATAGAAGAGAAAAATGTCACGTTGAAACGATGTTGCTAAACATTTTTACACGTGTTTTCAAAGTGGCTTGGTTTTTTATTTCGTTCGTATCGTTCTTTTATGAGCTCTGTGACTTAAGTAAACTCGATTTTATACGTTAATTATCAAAGTTCTTCAAGAATAGCTTATTAAAATAAAACATTTAAAGTTCTTTCTATAAACCGTTTTTCAATTTATATGAATTCTATACCACGTTGTCAAAAATAGTTCATTTTATTAAGATCTATCTATGTTATGTTAAATGAAAGTAAAATGTGATATTTAGTTTTATATCAATTAGATTTCTCGGGATATTCTGTATTCGAAATGTTAAACATGTAAAATAAAATTAAACGTTATATAAGTGAAATTTGACTTTTTAGCTTGTAAAATATGTGTAATGCTGTGCGTTCATAATAATACCTGTTTGATTTTCATTAAATAAATATTTTTGACTGTTTGCTTTTCAAAAAAATATGTATATTTAGCGGTACTAACAAAACGAGCTTATTGAAAAGAGCAATTAATAATAGCTCGCGACCTTGCTATTTGCAGACGGGCTTCCTTTCGCAAATTATTATCCAGTTGGCCTTCTCACTACTGTACTTTTGACTCTAAAATGCATATCAATAAAATTTTAGCATCGAAATCAACGTACTTACGACTTTAATTATTATTGTTGTGTTTGCTTATCTTGCAATATTATTCGCATGACTGCAACAACAACTATCTGTTTGGGACACGGTAAGGGGAGGATGTATTTGGCTGCGTTATAGAGTAGTATAGTTGGGCTCAATCGGTTGTACAATGAGTGGATCTAAAGAGCCGCTAGCATTGGCCCCGGTCCAGGAATGGGCTATCCACGGTTCAAGTGTACGCCGTTTCCGGTTTAAAGTGTACGTTAGTATATTGTTTTACGCCCGGGTGGCGCCGCAGCTTAGTGTCTGTCTGTAGTGCTTTTTTCGTTTGTTTATTTTTAAAACGATGGCGCGTATCCATAAATGGACTCTGTTACCGTTACTCGAGAAAATTTTGTGAGATTTTTACATTGATCGTTATGATTCTGTTCGAAATTGGCAAAATGATATACATTAATGACCTATATTTCGCTAAACGATACGAATGTTGGAAGTTTCACAGACGCGTGGGCCTAACGACCGCCCATGGGTATTGTGGGCGTCATTGGAGTCTGCGCCTAGGAACCTTCACAACTCTGGACGTCACACTCTAACAGTAGCTGAAGAGGGATGTAGTCGGTCTCAGAAACGTAAAATAATTATATTTATTTCGTGCCATGCTATTAAGCTATTACATACAATATCGCTTATACTATTCAAGTATAAAATCAGTAACTATTCAGCAGTAGTTTGAGAAGAACGTGGTACATTGATATTAGTTCTGTATTAACGCCCGTGCACAACAAGCCTGATTAAGACACGTCCCAAATTTAATAGGTGAGTTGGTGATATCTTTTCGAGTGCCCCATTCTCGTTTATAGCTGACATTTTAGCAGCCAGCCCGATAACAGTTGAATGGCAACTGGCATTTGTTTGTCAGAAGTCGCCGTGTCGTGGTGACGTGACGTGTTTCGAAATTTGAATTCGAAAACGTTAACGTCTTTACGATACTTCATGCGTGCCTATATCCCATCTTAAAGGGACGTGGCAGTGGTTAATGTTTATTGTACTTTGCACGCTGCGCGATAGCTGACGTGTCTTCGAGGCTCGAGGAATTTGTATTAAACTCGTCTATAGACTCGTCAGATGATTTTAAGTACGTTATTTACTTAGCTAACTATAATATCGTAAGTTATTTTGAAACGGCCATAAATTTTTCCAATTTTATAGGAATTTAATATTTTGTACGCTTTTTGAATTCATTGTAAAAACTAACATTTTATATAAATTATAGCCTATGTCATATTCTGAAGTATAAGCTATATTATTGTAAAGTTTTATTAAAATGCACTCAGTAGTATTTGCGTGAAAGAGTAACAAAAATCCATTCATACATACAAACTTTCGCCTTTATGATGTTAGTAAGAATTTATAAAATGTTTGTGAAAACGTTCGTAACTTGGGACTTATCGATAAAATACATAAAGTCAATGATTGTGATTATTCCATCATTACCTTTATTGTTTGTCGTGCGTACGTGGCTTTGTATCTGTACCACATGCTCATTAGAGCTAAAAGCTTATTTAACTAGGTTATTTTAAACATGCATTAAGGTCCATCCATGTGAACAGTGTATTTATAGTTTTATATCCTAAGTAAATGTTGTGAACCTTTTGACAACAGTGTGCCCAAATAGTGATTAAACTGGAGCATTATCACTGCAAACAATTGAAATTAAATAAGTTTATTATTAACGACTTTTCTGTCAAGTATTTTTTGTTAAATTTGGTTGTCATTTACAGTAGTTATTATTAATTTAAACAATTTCGAATCAAATTTTTCTTTGTAGTTAAAAATAAAAATAAAAAGTAGAATCTATATAATTATTTCAATTTTAATTCATCTTTATTTAATTCTATCCATTTATTTACCACTAAGTTCGTCCTAAACGAACCATCTAAACTAGG